GTCTTTCTCTGGGCTACTGTCGGCTTGGGGTGCTATGAGGCATGCCGCCAGCTGAGCCGTCAACCAAGGATTTATGCTAGAAGTTAGAGCCCGGGAGACCTCACGGCTGGGGGGTACATTGGGACTCATTGGCATACAGTTGGCACTTAAAGCTGGGAGACAGTGGGGTAAGGTCACTGCAAGAAGGGGACACAGGCTGGACGTTTAGCCGTGAGGTGCAGGAGGACGTGCAGGAAAGGGCGTCTGAGGGTGATACCAAAGGTGACCAGGTTCGTCCACTCTCACCACCTGGCACAACACCGACGCCCTGAATGGGAAGGTGGCAGGGAGCTGAGGCCTGAGCAGCAGGGCAAGAGCCTCCGCCGCCAAAAGTCGTTAGGGTGTCAGGACCCGGGTCTGAAATGAAGAACTTAGGCAGCTCCAGGAAGATCTGCAACCCCAGGTTAGGTTTTCTAGAACGAGACAGGAACTTATCCAAAGAAAAAAGAGAAATAAAGAGTAAAGTCCCCAGAGTCTGGAAATACTTGGTAACCCTTGAAATGGAGAAATGCAAGTGGAATTTTAAAATAAAATGTCAGCGTGTGGAAACAGTAAGTGGGCACGGGGTAAAGATTTTAATAAACAAAAGCAAAACAGAAATACTTCACCATCATTGTAACTGCTTCACTGAAGGCTGGAAAAACGAAGGCTTAATTTGACAATCAAATTTGAAAATCAAATCACAAAACAGCCCAGTGTCAGGGGAATATGTAGAGAAAACTCAGAGGGCTAAGTAAGCAGGTGCAAAGGGTGCAGGGTAAAAAACTGAGCCTTTGCAAACAGGGCCCAGAGGTTCCACTTCCAGCAGGTAGGATGGGCTATGGAAGAAGCAGGAAAACGCGAGGCACAACTGACGACTAGATGTATGAAAGAAGCATTTTCCCCCCCAGGCTTTTAAAGGAGCTAAATCCAGGAATTAAGAAACCTCACAAAGATGCAATTAACAGAACAACCAAATAGCAATCCCTACACCTCTTCTTATAATGTTTCTAAGCCTCAAGGGAAGGCGACTGCAGAAAGTAAATACTTAGGAACAGCCACATTGCTTTCAAAAATTATAATATTTAAAATTTTTCATGCTCTCTGACAATACAGTAGAAATTCTGAAGCAGTATCTCCAAGGAGAACGCTACTGACCTGGGGTTAACTCAACCTAGATGTCATTCAAGGTCAATAGCACTGATCATGTGCCTCTGCTTCAGAAAGGATCCAACAATTTCACACACACCCCCACCCCGAATTTTTGAGTGCTGGTGGTCCTAAAAACAAGAACCAGCAGCTTACTGAGCAGCTGGATATGACTACACCCGAAGAGAAGTGTTCATCTCTGACTCCCAGAACACAGAAATAAATTAAAACAGAAATAAATAGCAGAACTAGCCACAACCACCCGACCATCTAGATTTGTTTAGATCATTTCCTAAATCACAGCTGAGTTAAGGAAGAAAGTGACACAGTGATAGCCTCCCTGGGTAGGTGTGGGGCACAGAGTGCAGCAGGTCCACAAAGCACCCATGCAACACGTAACTTTCAGAAGAGTGAGAGGCCTCCCTGGCTGGTGTGGCTCAGTGGGTGAGTGCCCTCCCACGCTCCAAAAGGTCACTGGCTCTGTTCCCGGCCGGGGCCCATGCCGGCGAGATCTCCAGCAGGGAGCGTGCAGGAGGCAGCCGATAGATGTTTCTCTCTCTCTCTTCCTCTCTCAAAATCAATAGAAACATATTTTCAAAAAAGAAAAGGAAAGAGTGAGAGACCAATTTAAAAGGAGCAAATTATCACTCACTAGTAAATACTGATGATAAATTGTTGACGAAGGTAAACAAAAAACTACCAAGGAAAAGATGAAAAATAGAACCATAAAAAATTACAAATCACTTTATAATGAAATCCAGCCCACCTAGGATGAAAATAACAGAGTGGGGGGAAAAATACAACAGCTACGTTAAATAAAAAGCAAAACAATATGTGAAGAGTTGTTACCAATGTATAAAAGTACCAACAAAATTCCCAACAGAAAACTGACAAAGGACATGAACAGTTTGTACAAAGAGAAATATGGTTGCAATCAACCTTGTAGAAAAATACTTAATGACATTAGAAATGAAAGATATGTGAATCAATTCATTAGTATTGAAATGCGATGTTGAGAGAGAGAGAAAAGAAAATAGTGGAAGGACTTCAGGCAGCAGTGCATCTGGGTTGGGACAGCGTCGATGGCCCTGCCGTTGGTACCATCTCTCAGGGGCTTGGCAATATTGATGGGGAGCCATAATCTCTGTTCATCCTTAAATTGTCATTGAAAATAAGACAGGAAAAGCTATATGAACAGAGCTGTTCAAAGCAGCCTTTATTTAGGATCGCCAAGATCTCAAAATAACCCAAATATCTACAACCAACTTCCTCCATTATTTGGAAACCTCTAGAATGTTAAATATGCAAAGACATGAACAGTTTTTGGTGAAGCGAGTGAAAAATAGACATCAAAATTGTCTGCCCACCCTGCTTAAAACAATGTGGAAATAGTTGAAAAAGATGAGAAGGGAACGAAGAATCCATAAAGCCCCGGTACTGGCTCATCAGGGGATCAGACCAAGGAAAACCTCTCTCTTGGAGGGGGCATTCGCGCCAGGAGGCACAGACTGGCAGCCCAGGAAGCCCCTGGGGCACGCGTTTAAAATGCAGATTCTGGACCAAATCAGGCTGGGGCCCTGAAATTTGCATTTTTAACACTTGAGCATAGGTGTGATTTTTATCTACAGTAAATGTTGGAACCTTGGGCTACTAAGTGATTTCAAAGTAGTTTTGTGATTCTAGATCCAAATTTTCTACAGGCCAGAGGTAAATCAGGTCTGTAAATCCAGGCTCCAGTTTGGGGGTGTGGGATGGGGAGGAGTGGAGGTCTGGGGGGGTTGGGCAGGCCTGGATCTTCTCCCAGGCTTGTTCTTCTGGAAGGATTCTTGCCTTCACCAGATGGGGCTCCAGATGGAGCAGGGATGCCTCCACTGGTCCTCACTAACCTGTGACCTTCACCTTGTCCCCCCACAGAGAAGTCCTCCGGACCCTTCCCTCCCTGGAGTCTCTGCAGAGGTTGTTTGACCAGCAGCTTTCCCCGGGCCTCCGTCCTCGGGCTCAGGTAAAGGCCTGGGGGTTGGAAAGATGAGTTTG